TGGTTTCCAGTCCAGGAATATTAAACTCATGTGTTTTTGTTTTATAATTTGTTTTTTGTGTCAAAAAAGTTATAAATAATAGTTACTAATTAAATGGGACTTTAGTTTTTATAGTAATATATTGTTTTGATTTTTATTATGTATCGATTAATTATAATAAAAAAATTATAATCTTATACTAATTATTTAGAGTTACTTTATGTATTAAATGATAAATGTATTGGTATTTAAAAATAGTTTATGTGTTATCAATTAATTAAATAATAAAAAAGCAAACATATAATTAAAATACAGATTATGCATTTTAATTTATTGGATATTGATTTGTTACACAAAAAATAAAATATGATTATTTTGTACCAGAAGTGACATGAATATTAATATTTCTATAAATAATTTTTTAATTAACTATTTATATATTATGAAAAATAGTATTTATTTCCCAGACTTTTGTGTATTATTTATAATATAAAACTACATTTAAATCACTGAAAAACATGTCATAACCGTATGACATGTTTATAAACTTTTATGTTTATATTAAATCTGCTAGACACTAAAATAAATTAATAAACAAATCTATTAATAAAGTTGCAAATGATATACACGGCATAGTGTCAGACCTGTCTGGCATGTCTGATTATGGGCTACCTGTGCTCTCATTTGGTTTAACAAACATAGCTTCAAACAGATGCCTAATATCGCGGATAACGGCGCGCCCGGAGGGCATAATCATGTAGTTGTCCCCAAATAGCTGCTCATCAGTCATACTGTGCACGGATTGAGTGTCGAGAGCACCGGGAGGTCGACTCATCCGTATCCTATGCGCGCGTCTTATCTTTGAGACACCGATGAACGCTATGGTAGCTAATGATAGGACGGTTATGCTGGACATGAGAAGCACCCAAAACGTGGCTAAAAAATGTGTTGACACATGTATTGATAAAAAGTTATCAAGATCAGATTTTATTGATTAATAGGCACGCGATATGTATATAATAACTATCACTCACTTCGGGGGCCAATGGCCTCATTATTAGCCAAACTTAGAGCACTTGTATTAGTCGTGAAATACATGATATTTTTGACATTACTTTCATCGCACGAGCTATTTGTCAATAATATGTGACTAATTGCCATGAAATATCCCGGATCAATTGAGTTTATCAGGTTAATTTGTCCAGATATTGCAATTTTGAAGTCATCAATGTACTCAGATTGCGGCAGTACCTGGGTCACACATTTAAGCCACTCCTGATTAGTATTACTAAATGAGGTGTTAGTTATGCACTTGTTTAGCAAAATATTGTCGCTTTTATTATGAGCTAGGTAAATATTGAGTTGACAGTTATTACAATCACTAGGGTATGTGTATTCAATCACCAAGCAAACAGGATTTAGTGGATTTGAAATACTTTTAGATTCAAACATATGATCCTTATTTGTCTCATTTGTGTTGAGCAGTAAAACATTTTCATTGATCCAGTGCTCAGTCAATGAGCTAACTGTCCACTCGCGGGACCTAGTAATAGATTCACTCCACAGACAATTACCAAGATCATGGTCATTGAAATCACATTTTGATGTGATAGTTTGACTTATGGTACACACATATGATATATAAATTAGTAAGCTAATTAATATACACCGTATTTTAAAACGTATGAGTTTCATAATTAACTTCATGTTTTAATAAACAATTTTTATTATGTGTTAAATGACACCCATGTGTGAATAAATATACATATTGTATTTTTAAAATGTACATGTATAAACTGGTAAATACATGATAAAAATAATGTATTGAATAACAGTATTATTTTTGTTACTACAGTATATAATAAATTAGATAACAATTTAAATAGAAATTAAATGGTAATAGCCTTATAAATTAGATAATTTAATTTGTTTTATACACCACTTTATTTACATAAATAGATTATATACTCGATGTCCGCTATTGTAATCTAGCAAAATATAATTTTTAAAAATAAAATAATTATTTATCGTCTTTTATTTATTTTTTGATAACAAGTGTAAAGAACTTTTGATTAGATTTATATAAATAGTTTTAGATTCAATATTTTTGTATTAAAAATAATAATATAACTTCTTTTTGTAGTATTTTATATCCCTTTATAAATTAATACACTTTATAAGCAAGCACAATGCATATTATGAATATTAATGGATTAGAGGCGGATGTGTTTGATTGGGATTAGTATTTATTGACTGATTTGTAGGTTAATCTCATCCGGAAAAGTGATATATAAGTCAACATAAATAAACTCATCAATAAATTCAATGATTTTATCTATTCAGTGGTCAGTCGTATATTTGACAAAAACTCGGACACGTTTTCCATGAATTGTCAATTAATAGCAATTATTTCAATACTCGTATTGATAGTGACAATCAGTGCCGATACTAGTGTTAAGCGTAAGTGTTATTAATATTACAATTCATACAAAATTTAATAAAAAGTTTTCAAAAACTTTATGTTTTATGTTATGATAGCTAAGAGACCACAGGAATCATTAGCCGAGAAGTTTGCCGACAATTTGGGTTTTATATCAGCCGTATCTGTCGCCACATCCCTGTCCCCTATTTTACTGAAGTTTGCTTTCGCACCGCTATTTCTACTCATAAAACTCATATCAAAGCCATTTATCATGATTGGACTGACCGGGTATCTAATGGTGGCATCCGTACCGTTAATATTAGCCAAATTTGGTAATTAGCAAAAATGTTTTACAAACATTAAAACATTTAATATATAAGGACTACTCTATGGGACAGGTATGACGAGTC